GTACTGTATCGGCTGCCAAAGCGCCTTGCAGACAGCTGCCGCCACAGTGCAAGCACAGCGGGCGACTCTTTGTCTGCGGGCGGCTGCCCTGTTGATGATGATTTCAACAGGCGCCAAATTCGAATTTTTTCAAAAAGCAGGGGAAATCGAGGGTCTACCTGTCCCGGGGAGATCGATCCTGTCTCGGCATATCGATTCAGTATCTTCGATACAGCTCCGTGAGAAACTCGCAGTTGGCGGCTGATATGGCATGGCCTGCAATGGCGCACGGGTTACGGTAGCTTAGTCATGTTGCCAAATTTGCAATTTCACTACTTCGGGTGATAAATCGAGACCCATGGAAGTGCGAATTGTGTAAATTTATGCGTGCTGAAGTAGTGTAGAGGATACGCTGCATAATCGCTCATGATGGGAATGTTGAAATTTAGATTTGGAGTTTAGGAACTTCGCAAAAAAATGCCTCGCTTCAGAAATTTATAAATAGAAATGGCTTTAGCACGACGAAGAAGATTGTTTGAACATCAACGGATGCAAACGAATCCGCTAGACACAAGATATGCGAATAAAAATATTCGGTGATTCATTAATGACAAGTTATCATAGAAATTTTTTGCACTCGGAGGAACCTGAAAAATTAGAAACTCTGCTATCTATTAAAATGGTTTCTAAATGCGTAAAACTTTGCCGACATTGTTCAAGAAACCCAGCAGAATGTTCAGATTTATGAAGACTGCAATTAAGCTGAACTTGCCATCGTTTCAGCTCAAATCTGATAGAACTGAAGTGTAGATCAAAATCTAACATAAGACTGGAGAGCTTGATCTGACGGGATCAATCGCCTGTCTTCTGTAGATCAAATTAGAGATCAAAAGAAGTGGAAAAAAAATGAGAACGGAAATTTCAGAGAAGCAACTAGATTGAGATTGTCAGGAATGTAAGAGTAAGATTTTGAATGCATTCTTGGAACTTATGCATCATCTGTAGCTCACGATAAGAGATCAGAGAGCCGGAGGAAGGATGGAAAACAAGAAATTCAGAAAATCAAATGACTTGAGATTGTCATGAATGTAAGGAGCAAGAGAATGTGGGAATTCTAAATGAATCACTCACTTCACTCCTTTAGAAGCCATTTCAATGATTTGAACGCGAACAGCCTGGGGAAGGGGACGACCATTGATGAATACGCCGCCAAGTTGATTGACTCGGCCCTGGAACGAACACTGAATCAACAGAAGAATCGAGAGAGAAATGATCGAAATGCTGCGCGACAAAGCGCCTTTGGACCACGTGGTCCCTCTTCCCTTTCAGGTGACTCCAAATATTGTCCTAC